TGTGTGTGTGTGTGTGTTTAAAGTCCTTACACAGAGCTTACAATTTGATGTTGCTGTTATTGTTGTCAACATTGTTGTTAGTATTACACCTATTGCTAACGCGTTTAGCAAGTGGGTGGTTGGCGAGTGCTCCGGTGTGGTGTACTCCTTCTTTCCTATCACATATATTATCTATCGTTTTGATCTCTCCCCCTTCTTTTGTTGGGGGTGTTTTTTGGGGGGTGTTTTTTTTTAAAACTCTCTTGTAACACCTGTAATCTTCGGCACTTATACAATTGCCTAATTGTGTTGCAAGTGCTGGAAAACGCTTACCTAAACTGACGTTTAGCAAAGCTTTTACATAATTTATATATGCCTCTTTCTAAATGTCATTGACGTCTGCGTGGTTTTGAGAAAAAATTAATAATAATAATGATAACAATAATAATAATAATAATAATAATAATAATAATAATAATAATAATAATAATATAGTAGTAGTAGTATGATAGTATCTGCGCACTTGAGGGACGTAGGCCTACCACTGGGGTGCGTGGTTGAAGGGTGCTCTGACATGATTTGAACAACCCCTTCTTTCCCATCAAACATCCATCGTCCTTATATATTTCTTCTTCTTTTTTCTTTGTATTTTACGCTCTAGTAACTCTCCTTTCCTTCGACATTTGAATGGTCTTTTTGTGTAAAAAGTGACGTAAAACTCTTACTTAAACTAAATCTAAACTAAACTTCCTTTGGGCAGAAATTATTCTGAACTGCCGGATGGGGACGGAATGTTGGGGAACCAGAATTTATAAACCGGTTTCGTTGAAGTGGTCTTTTGAATTCTGAGTTTTTCTGTGGTTGCTGCTGCTGCTGCTGTTGTTTCCACTTTTGAGGGAGTTGATTTTGATTATATGGTTGTTTGTGCTGTAGTTTTTGTTGTTGTTTCTGCTGTTGTTTTTGTTATTGTTGCTGTCGTTGCTGCTGTGGGTTCTTTCTTTCTTTCTTTCTTTCTTTTGTTTCTTTCTTTCTTTCTTTCTTTCTTTCTTTCTTTCTTCTTCTTCTTCTTCTTCTTCTTCATCTTCTTCTTCTTCTTCTTCTTCTTCTTCTCCTTCTCCTCCTCCTCCTC